GGAAAGCAAACAGCTCATAAACCTAATGTTTATGCACTTAACTTAGAAATAAAATTTCAAAGGACCGAATTAAAAACGGATAGTAGGGCGGGGGGGGGGTAGCGAAAGACTACATCACATACACTTCAAATAACCACTTGTCTGAAAACGCAATCAACCGGTCAGGTCAACACAACTTTTTTCGGATAACCTCGACCTATCGATTAGCGTTCTATTCGTGGGATACTCAATCACGTCGACGTTGAACAGAAATATATGGTTGTTGTGGTTCTTACGCATCAGGTCACCGAGTTTTTACTTAACTTGGCCCTCAAAGAATTGCATTTCCCATTTGTTTTTAGATGCCATTTTCAATTGAACTATGAAGGGTCGCACTGGAAATTCGAATTGTTTTGTTTTAAACGAACCGGAATAGAACGAGTGTGCAATAGTATGTTAGGCGAAAGAAAACTTACAATTGCTTCCGTTTGGCAGAAGATCAGACTGTACCCCCAATAAATTGGTTGTATTTCAGTATACTTACATGGATATTGACGGGCCACATGGAAATAGACCAAAAGGGCCTAGATCGTAACACAGTATTAATTGTTTGTTGATCATCATCGTAATCATCACCGTACAGTGAAATACAGTGAAACGGGCGGATTGTTATTCAAGATCAGGAGGACGAAAATATGTTTATTTTTTTACAGGTATCCGACCAAACTCCCAGAATGTTTTTGCGGCCATTGTACTGACCAAAACGTAAAACAAACAATGCCGAAATATATAGCTGATGACTTGATGATACCACTTAGTCGTTGTTAGGAATCATCAGCCACTGCATAAATCCGGATCGCCCCCCTCCCCTCTGGCAGGTGTTGTTCCCACCGGTCCTCAGTGGCTTTTTATGCGCCAAAAATACACGATACAAACGCCTATTCTTCCTCGTCTATCCCTCCCCTTATAGCGGGCCTGATGTGCGATTTCCGATTGCGGTTCGNGGGGCGGGGGGGGGGATCTACAAACCTCGATCTTGTTGTTCGTACACAACTGTTCTTCTTTTATATTAAGTGACATTGATTTATCAGATTCGGTGTATTTTCACTGTTACTTCAACTTTTCTGTCATCATGCGGAGAAGCATTTTCTGTGACACATTTAAGACAGTTCACCGAACGATTTATTTATAATCTCGGTATTCTGTGCTTCCGTCGTAATTCTCTGGAGAGACGGAATATTCTTCCTAATTTCACTCTTCAACAACCAATATCGCTGTTTGGGCAGTACTTGGGCGTAAAAGGGTGTTTATCGTGTGTAATCAATCAATCATTCACCAAAAACCGGCTCAGAAATCATTGAATAAATCTTTCAGGTAACACATTTTCTGGAACGTGGATGAATAGGATCCATGGCGTGAATAACGCGAAACAAATAAAATCACAAACGTTTTTGAAAGTAATTTATCAGAAAAAATACAGAACCTTGACGACAAGGGGTTTATTCAGAGACAGCAAATCAAACGCAAACAATCTTGGACCCACTGGTGTGAGGAAGTAACAAAATATTCCGAAAGGAAAGGAAGTCGTTCGGGTTAACGCAGAGCAGTGAGCTAATTCACAAAAGTTTATTACAGAGATGGTCTGTTGTCGGTGAAAAATCTACTCACTGACAAACGAAAATGAGTAGTCTACACGATGCACCTGTAAGAAGTGTGAAAATCAATATGTAGACAGAGAAAAGCAACTTTGGAGTGGAAATGCATAAACCCTGGTCGACGACAACGAGGCCTCACGTTGAATTACTGTTAGCAAACGGGACGGCGGTATCCACCGGGAGACCGAGTCCAGCAGCGAATTCGATCAAAGCGAAGCGAAACGGATCGAATATATCTTGAGGAATACATGCAGATGCACATGCTCACCTGGAATAGTATTTTCAATGCTTTGAATATAAAGTAGAACGAGACAAAGAAGTTGAACACTTCTTCCAACGAGCGTCGCACACGCAGAACAAGCCAGCCCGCGTTGGACAGGACGGCAATGAATCCGAATAGGCTAGTGTAGACTGCGACCATTAGACGAATTGTGCCCAGTGAGGCTTGATTAACATCACAAATCTGGAACGAAAATGGGAGGCATAACACACATGGTAAGATAGACCGGGGGTGTATGTCGGACCCTAGGAGAGAAGACCATAACCTGTCACCCGGATATGGTTCGTGATCGAAGACCCCGGATTTATTCCTTCAAATGGGTTGTGTCAGCGAGTTGGTTAACCGATTTATCATGCGTGCTACTCCCTTTTGGATTGGAGTCACGGTGGATAAGGCCTATATTTGTTTGAAATGAATTGTGACCTGAAACCGACTCAGTTTAGGAAGTAAAATTAGAAAAAAAAACAAATGCTGCTGTTATTTACACCTTAAAAATCTAAAACTTCGTTCAACCTTGCCTGTTTTTATTTACAATAGACCTACAAATGAAAACACACAGTGGCGCTGCCATACTTAATGCACATTCCAAGCTCTGTCCATTTTCATAGCCGATATACGGGGACAAAATGTTTTCTGAATCATTTGCAGCTGTTTTGATGATTCTATTTATGAGAGGCATGTCGGAAAGAATGTCAAACTCAATGACAAAACGTATTTTTGAAAGACGCAGACAAAGAAAACCTGGTTTTCTTGATAGCAAAACGCGATTATCAAGTTGATCTAAACTAATCATTTCAAGTCATGGTACGTAATCTCAATCCGCAATGCTTTGAAGCAGTACTAACCACAATACCCAACGATAGCCTATCTATGAAAAAAATCTGAATGAGTAAAGCTGACTTGGCTCATGCTTTCCTTGAATTCTTAAGACCTAGAAACCTGACAATCCCAATTCACCCGTTGCACCAATTATGTATGTTTGAAATCAATATGATTAAGTTAACGACAAATCACAGAATAAGTTCATAGTCATAATCAGAACACAGGTTCTAGGCGAACATATGTTTTCGGTGAGTTCCTTATCAAACCAGTACAATCACATTTGTGTGAGAGAATAACCGGAAAGTGTTGTGTTGGGGTCAAACAGTCGAGGTGAAATAATTATAGCAAAGGGGTGGGGTAGGGCTACATTTTTCACTCGTTCTGATGTTCAGATAAGAACGGGTTACGTAAGCGTTGATCATCAATTTGGGTCATTACAATGCTCATGCATGATGTTGTCCGCTTGGGCCAGGGAAGTTTAAGTGCCTGAACAAGTGTTTTGGAAAACAATTCTGGCTTCAACAAGCGGATGATAACTGCCTCGGCTGTTGCTAGCGTCTTAATTCGAACAGCCTTGGATTCGTGTTGTGGGACGCGTTAAATGATGGTGAAAGCCGAATTAGTATCTACCCCATGTCCAGTTTCAACCAAGTGTGCAAACATGGAACTGGAAATAACTGCGATTCCTCCGTCTCCAAGCCAAGTGGGTTGATGTTCCTTAATGCGCTTAGATAGCTGCCTTGTCCTACGACCTACATAAGTGGTACCACAACGGCATTTGAATTGGTAGATCAGCATTGACGAGGTCAATATAGGCAAATTATCCTTGTTTTGACATCGGATGACGGGTGATGTCGAGAACACGCATTTAAGGTTGGCAGCATTGAACGTTGTTTTGACTGCGGCTCTCAGGACTCTACTAATTCCTTCAGCTGCTAGATCTCCTTTGAACGGAAGTTTAATGATCAAAGTCTTTTTCTCAGCTATATCTGCAACCACCTGTATTATTCTTTCAGACCAGTTGCGATTGATGAACATTTTCGGGTAGCCATTTTCTGACAGCATCTTTCGCACAACTGCTAATTCTGTTTCTAAAGTGTCTTCTGAGCAGATGTATCTTGCTCTGAATAGAAGACAGCGCACTAAGTTACGTTTGTAAGCGAGCGGTACAAAACTATGGAAGTTTGTGTACTGTCCGTTCCATGTGGCTTTTCGATGAACCTTCCGCTGAATGGAACGATCCAAACGTCTTGCTCTGATTAAGTTAACGATTGAGGAAAATAAAATGATAGCAACTAGCAACATCCATCATCTTTCTAAGCGCACATAATGGATCAGTTAATAGAGTGATTGAAAAATCTGGATATTGCTTTCTTTTCTCGATATAGCTGAATGTTTAGCTCTAATTACAATTAAACTTTAATCAACTATTTTTTTCGGTTCCGGTGTAAATAAGATAACGCGGTGCGAATCATGCGGCTTTGTAATGTTTGTTCTCTGCTGTTCTCTAAAACAACGGCGTTCTGTATAAGAACAACAATAAAGATGATAGGAGACTTTCAACAGATAGTTGCATAAATATGGAAACCATGTGTAAGGCGTAAAGATGGTGGATATAAATCAGATAGCAAAATAATAAAAATTACGAGATAATAGGTTTCTCAATGGATTGCAAGCGGTGTAAACAAAACGCGGATGAAAAACCTTGACAAATTTGTGTACGAATGCTTATAAACGTGTATCAGGCCACTTGGTGTTGGCGACACTCGTGATCATCGAGTGACTGAGCACAAGCACTGACGACCGGAATCGAGTTTTCTTCAATGGCAGAGTTTCAGTGTAGTAATGCGTATTGTATGCAAAAACCACGGCCCATTTGGTAGTTTCCCATAAACTAGATTGCAACAAGCGCAATGATGACCTATTGTAGCTATAAGTTCATTTCAAGGATTGATTCGCATTTGTACAGTAGACTTATGCAAGCAATTCAATCACAGTTCTGACAAACAGGCTGTCGAAACCTGCGGAATGATGACACATAAGTAAGGGATACCACTTAAAATTGAGTCGTTGGTCTGTTGGCCCTTGTCAGAACCCGAACCATTTACGAAACAGCAGAAGCTCCGTTTAGGGTTGATTCAAACAAAAAGATGCCCAAGTCCCGATGAACGAAGGGTGAGTGCGTGCGGTAATGCTATAGGTTGTTATTGTGTAATAAATGCGCGTGGTCTTGTGGGCCAAAACAGTTACAATAACAAGAGATGAAACACAAATGCAAACTACTAGGTCGCGACGTGGAGGATCGAAATCCTGGTTCAGAGAGTCGAAAAAATTGCAGCAAAGCAATAGGGCAATAAACTCGAAGAGTATATAGAAAACTGAGCTATAAAATAAGTGGTTCCAAAGTTTGAATACTTGGAGCTGATAGACAACAAAGTTTTTCAACTTGGTACTAAATGTGAAATGTACGTGTATCTTGGGTTAGTGTCTAAGATAACATGGATATATACGTGCCAGAGCTCGCTCTGGATACGGAATCCGAAATTAATGAATCAAAAGCAGCCGGAAAGGTAGAGGAAAAGAAAGATAGCCGGTTTATGGTGGAGTCGAAAAATGGGTAATAGGTACCCTCACGAGCAAAAGAGCATTTTTAGTAAACAATAAGCGCAATGATCACATCTCTACTCACCAGTTTTATGCACGTTTCAAGGATTAGCATCGGTCCAGTCATACCAACAATTAGAAGTGGTTGGCCGCCGAGCAAGGTGAAAAGACACTGACCAGCACCCGAGGCAAAGATGCATAAGGGGATTGAAAAAGTCGGAGATACGTTTGATACTGGGAGTTCCAGTGCGTTTCAGTCAGTTCGGTTGTCGATCATAGCGGTAGGATAGCGTTCCAGTCAGGGGTGGATTGGAAAGAGTGTGAAAGTTCATAATGCGAGACAACATTTTTTCATCGTACTAACACATTTTGATAGCTTATTTAAAATGAGCCGGTGCGGGACAGTCAAAATGGGACTAATCGTCACAATCTCTTCCCCAAGGTATGAATGAAGCCGGTGAAAAATTACCAAACTCCCAAGGAGTGAAACCCAAAAAACAACAACAATACACAGACTCAAGTGTTTGCGAATTTGCATTGGCTAAAAAGAGCATGTATAATTAATTACTCAATGTAACCATGTGCTCAGGAGTGGGGTGCCAGATGTTCAGTGCAATTTAGATGGAGCGCTCATTTCACAATGCCCGTGGCACAAAATCTAGAGCATTGTTTTTTTTCTCATTCTTACATCGATGCCGTTTTCCATTAAGCGGATAAGTTACTTGAACGTGATATGACTGCAGTGTGGTAAAATCGTTTCAAACATAGTAATATCGAGATACTGATTTCTGACACTGGTGCTTTGCCTTCCAACTTGGCGAACAATGTGTTTGTGTAAACTATTCTGAATCACAAAGATCTCGATTCAGTCCACGTTACATCATGACCAACCATCAAAACCTTTAAATTCCTCGGATATCCTTACTTGCCCGTGTTCAAAACAGCCTGAAACCAGACAAGAGGTGACTGAACGTAGTACAGAATATTTTGAGTAAGAAAGCTAAATTGGTAATCAGACAATGATATATCTCGCTGAAACATGACTTGGTCACGTTAAACATCTTGGATTCGAGTCCGATGGACCCATATTGTATGTTATCTCCACGATGGTTAATAGTGAACCCTAAGCAAGCACCTTGAAGTTGAGGTTGAAGTCTCATTCTTGATCCATGGAATGCTCACACGGAGCGAATCTGCTAATGAATTCCTAAAACACTACTTTCTCTTAGCGAGATTCATTGTGATAAAGTAAGCGGGCGAAATGCTAACACCCAGTGTTGTAGTTAAGGCGATGGAATCGCATTTATCCAACTCACCTACAGAATGTGGACTGGAATGATCTCGGTCAGACCTGCCTGAAAAGATTATAAACTGGCTTCAGGATACCCTGATTCTAAAGGTCAACATACAGCTTGAGAGGGAGACGAGGAGTTAAGCATCCCGGGGCGCGAGGGTGTAGAGTTTTACTGAGAAGATAATCAAACAACAGCACGGAGACGGTTTACATCACACTTCACTGCTATGCGGGGTCAGACTATTCGGCTATTTGAAGACTCCGGCTATGAACCCGTTAGCAAAACATGATATTTAAATAAAGCAGTCTAATAGTAGTACGTGCTAGTACAAACAAAGGATAGGAATTCATTCCTTAAATAGTTTTGAGCACAACGTGAACCCAGACTGTTGTGAGACATAGGAATAAAAAACTGATGGACAACAAAGCCTTTGATTGTCTAGCATTTAGTTCGGTTGTCCTCCAGGAGCGTTCAACATCGAACCCCTCACTTGCCACCGGTGAGCGGTACATCACACTGCACATGAACAACGCTTTGAAGAAACTCAATGTGTAAATGTAGATAACTTTTGTGATCCTTCCCTAAAAACAGTCACACACAGTCAATCAACCGGCACAATAGTAGACAACACGCGGTCGTCGAAAGATAAACAATCGGCGTGCTGAAATGAAAGACAACTATAATTGGTGAACACAAAGAATTTTTGTACTCGTGACTCAAATTCATGGAGACTTGGGACAATGAGTAAAAACTTTTCTTAATACACAAAAAAGATTCCACAAGTTTGTTCGTTACACTTACTACAATAAATCACTCGAAAACTCCATTTTTCAAAAAACTAAGTCAAGAGACCAGTTGGGCTTCGGTGGATTAAAATATCTCCTAGCCAAGTACACACTTATTAGGGAAAGACGTTTGCATGTGCAAATCAAAAGCAGCAGAGATGGTAACTAACCCAACAAGGCACCGAATGTGACAGCGGGAGCTAAAACGACGAAGTAGAGAAATATGACTGCCGCAAATACCAATGGCAGATCGCCTCGGTTACGCCGTCGAAACGGATCACTGAGATCAGACCAAAATCGACCGTGATATGCGTACAAATCGGTGCACAGGGCCACACCCATGGACAAACAAGGCAAAGCGCACCGGTGCTGACAACAGTTTCGTCTGTTGCGTTTTCTTCCGGGTACAATAGGCATCTGTCCTTGCAACAAGTCGACTGGGGTTGAGCGCATGGAAACTGGACACTGTCTCCGGGATGATGGCTTTCGTCTCCTATGGAAAAGAAAAAAAATGCAGATCAACGGGGGGCTGAATAGACAGACACTTATTCGTATTACAGAAGCATGGTTTTACCAACCACATCTTGATAACTCAAACCATTTCTCACCGATACGGAACTACTTTCCCTAATAAATAACCGCAGTCCTGCACGAGAATAATCAATCGGTACACCGAAGACTATTAGTCCATTGGGATGACTTGATACAAATCAAGTGTCTTAATGGCAAGCAGCAATTGTAATCGAATATCATTCGGCTGAACATTTAGGAATGGTCCCGTCAACGATGAGGAATAGGAAGAGTGATTCTTGTCCGGGAAAACAACATCAACCAGACACAGAGGTCTTATATATATATATATATATATATATATATATATATATATATAT